GTCATCTGCTCCTGTGTGCTCTGGTCAGATATATCCTTCTCCCAAAGCTGCAGATTCAGTGCCATCCGTTGAAATAAATTCTTCTCGTGGGAGGGGCAGGCATCCACTTAGTATTTGGGGCTGGGACCAGCCCCCCAGACCTCTCCACTGATTCCCGGCTACTCTGCTATTAAGAGCAAGTTTCAGAGTCTCTCCTGATGTCCACATTGATCTTTTCTTTCTTTCCTGTCTTTTTAATGACCTTTTTCTTTCTTCATGAATGATGATCAAACATGCAATCAAGATACACTGATAGTTACTGGTGATTAGAATGCAAAAGTTGGAAACAAAGAGGAACAGTAGTTGGGAAATATGGACTTGGTGATAGAAATGAAGCTGGAGATCACATGATAGCATTTTGCAAAACCAATGACTTCTTCATAGTACATACCTCTTTTCAAACACAGAAAATACACATGGCCTCTCCAGATGGAATTCACAGAAATCAAATTGATTACTATTGTGGGAAGGCACAATGGAGCTCATTATCAGCAGCTCAAAGGAGACTAGGTGCCAACTGTGGAACAGACCACCAATTACTCATTTGTAAGTTCATGTTAAAGTTAAAGAAAATTAAAACAAATCCACAAGAACCAAACTATGACCTTGAGTCTATCCCACCTGAATTTCCAGAACATCCCAAGAGCAGATTTGACACATTGCACCTAATGACAGAAGACCTGATGAGCTGTGGGAGGACATGAAGACTAATTTCTGGCGGAAGTTGTTGGTAGAATTCAATTCGACCACAAGCACAGAGCTAGAATTTATATTACATCACATGGAAAACTATGGCTTGAAGGGCCATACCAACTACACCGCCGAAGGGCTCAAGCACAATTGTGAGGACCACGCAAGACCAGGCAGCGCTTTATTCCATCAGAGCTAATAATATGTTTGTATTTGTCATTTTGGTTTATTTTTTTCATTTCTCATCTTCCTTGGTGACTAGCAGTGTCTGGCAGGTCTGGTTCAATTAAAGTTCAGTGAGTTGAATCACACCCAACATTTTGCCATCTTTGGGTTACAATATTGGATAAGGTTGAACGAGATTTCTACTGGGTTGTAATTGTACTCTCTGGAATTCAGCCATCGATTGAACCAATACTTCGATTTTAACACATCCCCGTGCTAGGTCACGGTGTGAAGCCCTGGGGAGACAGCAGTGAGCCACCTGGCATTGTAAGTGTAATGAAGACATCAACGATGTGCCTTTCCTACCGAGGCTCGTGGGCTTCAGACATTTTAGTCCCGCCGATTATTTTCTTGGACTTTCCTGCTTTCTTGAATGACCTACTAAGTGAACTTCCTTTTCTTACGACATTGCGCTCTCCTAATCCTCTGGTCTCTGCCTGCCCCTTTTTTGAAATCCTCTCCCTTCCCCTCCCAGTCCCCAAGTATAATATTGCGCAATCCCTACAAACTAACTCTTCCCTTCTAGTCCAACTTCCTTTCCCCAACTTCAGGCTTTCTCTCACTTAGTTGCAGTGGGATGTCTCACCTTTACTTCTCAGCCCGTCTGTCTATTCCTGAAGGCATCATCTTTCCTCCCTGTCCCCCTGCCCTGTCCCATGCTGCCCCTTTCCCTGTATTCCTGGCCTGGTTGCCAATTCAAAGACTGAAAACTCAGGATAATCAAAGGATTGGTGAGTGGTACCCCACAGCTTGTTTCTCCTTGCAGGTCCCGCTCTGAGATTAAATCAAGTCAGATGAAATAGAGATGGACGTCACTGAGGTTACTGGATCAGCAAAGCCTCTGGTAACCAGGGCTTGGATGCAATTTCTCTTTTGCAGAAATCCCCATATAAGACTCCGACTCACCTTGCTCAGCAACAGGAGCCATGGAGCCACCTCAGTTCAACTCCCACAATCAGTTCCATAAGGCGGGACGTCTATTTTTATGATCCCAAGGTACCTAGCATTGAAGTATTATCCATTTCCCCTACACTTAGGACCCAGTGGTATCTTTTCTTGAGAGGTAGCCCATCCCTGACTGCTTTGGGACCTTTTGTCCCCACCATAATCCAAGATCCTACCAAATCCAATTCATCTGGCCTCGGGGAAGTCAGGAGCTTTACTTCCTCATCAGACTTGATTAAAAGCTGGGCTGAATATAACTATAAATGAGGTAAGATCTGTGAAACGCAAGTCAGGGACAGTCCCTTAGACCAGAAGAGAGACAACTCTGGACAGACACGTCCTTGTGTGACACAATGAGCACCAATCAGGGCTTCCCTCTGCTTTGGGGGGAAGAGTAGAGTCCAACAACTGGCTAGAGCAGGAGCAGAGGTGGCCAACCCTCTGAGAAATCCTGAGTGGAGTAGAGAAGACGTAGACCTGGTGAGTTACACCATGAGCTGCTCACCGGTTTGAACGCACCCAGTTGCTCCTTAGGAGAAAGAGGACGCGGTGGTGATTTAAAGTCTCAGTAACCCAAAGAGGCTGTTCTTCCCTGTCTTCTAGGGTCCCTGAGTCTGAATGGAGCCCATAGCAGTGGGTTGGATTTGGGTTATTCTAGTGCACCCACAGGTGCCTGGAAAGCTACCTCTGAGAAGTGAGCTCCTGAAACCCCTCAGGAGCACATCTCTACTTTGACACACCAGTCGACTCCATGGCGACTGGTTGGGTTTTTGGTTTGGCAGATACCAAAGGATGACCTGGATTTCCGCCTAACAGCCTTGTACAACCACCACACTGGGTCGTTCAAGAACAAGAGTGAGGTCCTGCTGCACCAGGAGACCACTCAGGAGACCCGCAGGTAAGTGCTGGAGGCCAGTGGTTTCCACCGAGAGCACCAAAGGTAAAGTGTTAGCCAGGGACAGGAAATGGCAATAAGTAGACAGGAGTTTGTGTGCAAACTTTCATGTTTTTTTAAACATCTGTATCTGTAATATAATATCTGTATTTTCATTGCTTACCATCAGCAAAAATCCTTCAGTCATGTGTAGTGGTATAAACAAATAAAACGTCCAGTTCTTTCGACAGAGGAAAAGAAGTCCCTTTGGCTCCTTTGCTTTTGAGGTGTCAAAACTACTACCTTTCCCTCCTCACCTGATGGATTTCTCTCCCGTTCTTCCTAACCATCTTCTAGAACGGCCAAGATCGCAGAAGAGTTCCTACGTTCTTCCCCACAGCCCCCTCCCATATCCATGGCGAACATCAGACAGTGGATCAACCCTAAGAAGGAGTCCATCTACAGCACCCAGAGTTCCATAGGTAAGCGCTTGTTAGCAGACTGGCTGGGCAGACGGTAGGGCAAATGCTCTTGTTAACTGGGCCCAGGAGCTTGGGGGTTGAGGCCACCAGCTGGGACTGAGGCGCCTGTAACAAGGTGACTACACTGGAGTCCCTAACACCAGAGGGTAGCATAGCTAGGGAATGGATCGGATGTTCCCGAGGCTCCTAACAAATCAGCTTTAGATCTAGGGGTCTAAAACTTCCAAGGGCAGACCAGGGGCGGAAACTAGGGAGTGGAAGGCCTACAGCCACCTCCTGTCAGTCTTCGGAAGCCTCCCCAGAACCCTCTCTGTGGTGCCCCCAAATGGCGGTGATTAAAGGGTCCCGAAAAAGGCCAAGGGTCTTCACTGCTTTCTCCTTTCTCCAGTGTCCCCTCACACTGCAGCCACCAACGGAGGCTACTCCCGGAAGAACGATGGGGGCTTCTTCTCAACCTAGCTTGGAGGCTTCTGGCGAATCCTAGTGGAACACCCTGCCTGCTGCCCCCTCCAGTAAACAGACTGGTACAAGATGAGGCCTACTGTTGTCTGTTAGCCTTGGACTGTGAGTTGCCACTTGAGTATCCTTTAAAATGTCAGGGAAATGTCCCAATTTCTAGAAACTAGTGTTGTTGAGCTGATTTGCAACTTGGAAAGCTATAGTGCTAAGAATCGGGATGGAGTAGCCCCATCTTTCCACCACTTTGTCCTTTTGCCTCGTACTGTGGTAGTTTGTGTGTTGCTAACCATTTGCATGGCGTTTTATATTTTGAAGTAAGACGGTGAACGTTCACAGAGCAGATCACAGTTGTTCATTCACCAGTTGATAACAGTCTGATTCATGTACCGCAGTCTCCTCAGTGTTGCTGGCATTTAAGGGCCTTGCACCTGAGTACCAGGAGGAAACTCATCTGAATTAGCAATGCCTACGCTGCCCAAACGTCTTTAGAAGTAGGAATTTGTTGAACTATGTCACTGGTATTTCAAATATAAGCAGAACCACCCAAAGGGGAAAAGGTTTCAGCAGAGCTTACAGACTAAGAACAGACAACAAGGACTGGGCTCCGCACTTGGGAGGAAAAAGCCGCTCTAAACCTTGGCAGGAGACATTTTATAAAATGGAGCACTGTTGCTGGGAAAGGCCGGCAGCTCTAACCCACCAGCTGCTCCAGGGGAGCAAACCCAGGGCTGCCGGCTTTCACCAAGGTTTACAGCCTTGCTGCCCCTATGACTCTCCTCAGTTCTTTCCTCCAGGGTGGCTGAGTCAGAGCAGATTGGGATTTGGGTTATCTCAGATGGCAGGAATTGTGATCTGAAACTGCATTTGCTTGCAACAAGGACTTAAATAAGAAGCCTCTCAATAGTCAAGTCTTTTAAGTCATATATTTCAAGTTTATAAAATGTTAAAATTACATCTCCTCGGAAAAGAGAACAGCCGTTTTCTTGAGAGAACTTTAAATGATTTGAGAGGGGCAGACTTTTGTCCTTGTTTCACCAGATATTCCAAACCAGTTGGCTGGTCTCATGTCAAGAGCTGCTGCAGTCCTCTCAGGATGTCAAATACAAGCAGAAGCAAACGCTTCAATCCCACCCGCGACCAGGACAGCCAGTGCATTTGACCACTGATCTTGTGCCCACCATGCCACTGGTTATTACCTCCCTTTCCCAGCTCAAAACCAAAATGATAGGACTGAGAAAAACCAAGGGAACAATAACCAAGTCATTATTTTGTACTAACAAAGATAACCACGCTCCACTGTAATCTTTTGAAAGCTGAAGGGCAGAGTAGAACTGCCCCTGGGGGTTTCCATGGCTGTCCATCTATAAGGGACAGCTAGTGTATATGAACCACTCATCTTGTGCCCGCTAAGCCACGAGGGCTTCTTCGGAAGGAACTTTAAAGGCAATGCATGAATGTCGTGTGTAAAACTAACTCCCAAAACCTGTGTGGTTAAAAAAATAGGCAGCGGGGGTGGTGGTAAGAAATGTTCTACGAATTCCTATTTCTAAATTAGTTTGGGCAGCATAGGCATTGCACTCAGGTGCAAGGCCCTTAAATGCCAGCAACACTGAGGAGACTGTGGTACATGAATCAGACTGTTATCGACTGGTGAATGAACAACTGTGATCTGCTCTGTGAACGTTCACCATCTTATTTCAAAATATAAAACGCCATGAAATAGTTACCAGCTGCCAAGCAGCAATATGAAGTTTCAGTTCCTGACTAGCTGGAGGTCGCAGATTGAGACACTTGTAAGTATCCGTGCAATCTAAGTCTCCAGACTGAAACAGGGAGGGGTCGATGAAGAACCGGGCCCAGCTCCCACAGGCCGTCGACACTCGGTCGTCGACCTCTCCCGTCCTCGGCTGGTGCCCGAGGCCTCAGGCCGTGCCGAGCGCGGCCCCAGCCGCCTGCACCCCGGCATCGTATCCTAGGGTCGGGCTCAGATCAGAATCGCCTCGATAATCAGCGACACAGGACAAGCCCGGCCTCGTCTATCTGATCAATTCATCACTTCTGAGCGCCGGGCCCGTCGGACCAGCTCCGGGACCTCGGGGACCACAGCGTTGCCGCCGCCCAACAGGCCTCGCTGCACAGCGCCGCGGAGGGCTTCGCAGGAGGGGATCATTTCATTTCGGGTTGGCCCGGCGGGGCTGGGGTCGGACCCGATCAAATAAGATCAAGGTGTAGGTGGGGAGAGGGGCGCAGGGGCGGGCTCATACACTCGTCTGGCACTCCCCACACGCGCCCACTCACACACAGACACACGCACACACGCGGGCCACACACGCCTTCCACGAGACACAAGACCCAAACCAGACCCCACGCCACTCTCCCGCTAAGGAGGGAGCGGAAATCCGCCCTTTCTTTTAAACCCCCCGCACCTCCCCCACCTCAGAGGATTCTGGGAGGAACCACCGAGGGCTGGCGGGTGACTCCTAGACGAGTGAGTGCTTTGCTGCCCCCTCGTGGACCGGAGGGGAACCCAGATTACAGGGACTCAAGGAACAAATTCCCATGATCTTGAATCGCTGTGGTTGTCTTTGGATTTTCTGTACAGTTACACATTTGTATTTATATACATAGTTTTCAAATCTTCATTTTGTTTTTATTTGTCTTAAATTTAAAAATATATATCTAGAGTCTGGTATGAGATTGTTCAGTCTCAGGTAGTTTATATGTGAATGGCTCCCTTTCCCTGGAAACTAACCTGCCCATACCAGGAAGAGCATCCGTTTTGGAGTTCCTGCTTGCGAGGGAGAACACAGACATCATTTTACCAAAGGGAAAGGTAAGGAATGGATTATTTAAAGCCAAGGTAGATGATCAGACTATCTGTGAAATGGGTAAAAGTAGGCAAACATGCCCCAAAATAGCATAAAAAATAATGATAAGCACATAGTGAATGCCTGTCACATCGCTGCTCCTTCCAGCTCCTTTTTCAAGTAGCATAGGAATGCCTTTAACCAAACCCACTGCTGTGCAATGATCCAAACTCATAGGCACCCTCTGGGACACGGTGGACTGCCCTATCGGGATTCCGTCTTTATGGAAGCAGACCTTACAGCCTCATCTTTGTCTTACAAAGTTCAAACTTCCGCCTTTGGGTTAGTAGTCAGTCCTTCACCATCGTCGCACCAGGCCAACTTGAAATAGGAGCAAACCAAACGCACTGCCATTGAGTTGGTTCTGATCCACTGCAACCCTATGGGACAGGGTAGAACAGTCCCCGTGGGTTTCTGAGGCTGCAAATGTTCACAAGACCAGGAAGCCTCACCTTTTACCCAAGGAACAGCTGATGGATTTGAACTGTTAACCTTGTGGGTAGTAGCCCAAAATGAACTCAACACCAGAACTCCTGTTCAGGAAGAGGGGAATGAATCAGAAGGAATAGGAATAGGGAAAATTAATCAGAAAAATTGTCCTATTTTTTAGATTAAAGGTATTTCTCATTTTATTGTATTGCACAGATTTGTTATTTAGCAAATTGAAGGTTTGTGGTGACCCTGAGCCAAACCTATTGGTGCAATCTTCCAATATTGTATACTCACTTCATGTGTCTGAGTTACATTTTAATAATACTCACAACATCTCATAATGCTATTGCACACTTTATAGACTACAAACAACAAACCCACTGCCTTTGAGTAGATTCCATCTAACATGACCTTACTCCATTGGGTCCTTACTCCAATACTGCACACAGTAACTTTCTCCAGCTGTGACTAGTGGGTTTGAACGGCTGACCTTTTCGTTAGCAGCCCAATGCTTAACCCAATGCACCAGAACTCCGTTAGTAGACGGCAGTAAGGTACACACACACACACACACACACACACACACACACACACACACACCTTTTATTTGCACTGGGAAATAAAAAAACATCTGACTCACTGCATTGTGATATTTACATAGTGGTATTTTGGAACTTAATCCTCAGTATCGTTGGTGTTCTTGTACTAGAAAATGATTTTTGAAAGTATAATGAGTACTTGTGCCAGTGCCACTACGTGTGCAGAATAGACAAGGGAAAAGGACCTGTTGATTGGGACAGACATCCCATTGGCCCAAGGCTCCTTTGACCCTGGTGGTGTCAAAGAGCCTGATGACATAGTGATCACTCATTGGGCTGCTAACCACAAGGTCAGCCTTTTGAAACCAGCTGCCCCTTGGGAGAAAAAGGCTTTCTACTCATATAAAGAGTTACAGTCTTGAAGATGCTGCCCCCAGTACATGAGTGTAAGTGCCTGGAGCTAGGAGCAGCACACAGGCTGTGCCTGAAAGCTTTGACCCAGGTGCCAAGCTAACACCGGAGGCGTGCAGAGCGCCCTGCTGCTGAACATCGTGGGACTGCTGCGGACCTATTCAGTTATGGAGACACAGATGCCCGGATCACTGCAACCACAGCCAGTAACATCTGGGCTGCCTATGACCACAATGGGAACCAAGCGTTTAACAAAAACAGTCTCAAATTCATCCTCATGGACTGCATGGAGGGCTGTGTGGCCATCACCCAAGGGGCCAACCTTCTGCTTCGTATGTATGCCAAGGAGACAGTGGATTTCTGAATGTTTCAGGCCAACACCCAGGCTTGGTACAGTACCTGGAGGAGCCCCTCACCCAAGTAGTGGCTTCATAATGGTATAGGTGGAAGCTGGAGTCAGAAGAGAAAGGACCATTTGAGGGGGCAGAGCCCATAGGGAAGACCTTCCTGGGCTGTGTTGGGAGGATGAGGGTTGATTTTCCCATAATAAACGTAAACTCCTATTATGAAAAATAAAAAAGAGTTACAGTCTCAGAAACCCGTTTTATCCTGTCCTACCGACTCACTATGAGAATTGGCTCAATGAGTTGCATCAACTTGGCAGTGAGGTTGGTTTTTTGGTTTGGATAACCTGAAAGCCTCAGTGGAATGAAGTTTATGGCTACCGATGGCAGATGATATTTGTGGTAATGGTATTGGGAGGTGTTAATAGTAATGAGAGGTAAAATACTTACTTAATAGACCTAAAAACTTATCATATATAACGTAATATATTCAAGGGGTCTTCCAGAAGTTATGGAAAATGTGTATTAAGGAAA